AGAAGACTAGGAGTTACACGATCCATATAATGGCTAAGAGGCTGCTATTAAAGTTGCTAGGTTCTATCTAGCTTTATGTCAATGTTTTTATGCTTAGCATAGCATAGAAGCTTAATAACGGCGACTTATATTAGTAAGCGCCTATCGTATGGTAGATAAGGAGTATCTATAGCTCTAGAAGCCGATCCTTTATCTTTATTCTAGTTCCCTTATTACCTACGTGTTCGTCTCCTTTAGTAGGGCTTATTCGACTTCGTTAGGTAATCTAGTACATGTCTTACTATACTACTAACTACTTATTTGTTGCCTTAATAATGTCTTCTAGTCTTTACATGTCGTTACTATCTTCGTCTACTACACTAAAGTAGTACTTATTAGGAGTAATAACTCTAGTAAAGTACGACATAAATCGGAATGCTATTCCGAAGTATGTCTTAAGGCTCTTAGGCCCTTTATGTGGATCGAACAGTCTAGTCTTACCCTATAGATCGACTTATAACGGTTAGAAGCGACTAAGAACGACTTAATATTAGTAGGTTAACATATAGTTAGGTCTATTAAAACATAGCCTATATGCATCTTATAGTAACGATTATATAGCGTTAATGATTGTATAAAGATTACTCTTATCTCTTAGTAGGAGAATAGCGATTACTATCCGAATTTCGTCCTTTTAGAGATGTTATATATGTTTAGTAATGCCTATCTCTCTTAACTAAGGAACTATGGTAGAGACGTAATCATAGAAGCTATATACTTAATTAGCATTATTAATAGCATCCTACTATGCTTACTAGATATCGTCTTCTAAGGCGTAGAAAAAGTCCTACTTCTAGGATGTCTATAGCTCTAGATCTAGGACTCTACCCTACTTTACTACTTTAAAGTACCTTTGCTAGCTATTAACCTTAAAGAAACGTTAGTAGGCATAGTTTGTAGTCTAGATCTTATTTGTTAAATGGAGGCTTTTAGTACGCGTATCTCCTCTACGCTTCTACTTATTTACCCATCTATGTTTATCTTTATAGTGCTTTTGCATTAGACGTAGATTGCGACATACGTAAGCGTAAGCCATGTTCTTATAGTTTAATGCATTACATCTAAGCCTATTAAAATAGACCGGGAGGCATAGGACTAGAGAATCTATTAGTATAGGGTATAAAATAGCTTTATAAACATTTACTAGAGTCGAGCAGCCATTAACTTTAGTGATATATTTGTAGCGTTATTCTATAGTAAGACGCAAGTAGTATAACTATAGATGTGTTATTAGCTACGAAGGTATTATTACGTACTAGCATAGTATGCATATTAGGATCTTATGTTTATCGTTAACCTAGAGCAGACGATCGAAATCCATTAATAGGACGGACTTAAAAGTAAAAGACTAAGAGTGCTATCTTAGTCTTACTATATAGAGATGTTATAAATTAATAGCGCGTTAATAGGCTTCTATGCTATCGGGCTTTATTAATGTGTGTGTAGTCGGTTACTAGGGTCTAGTGCGGGAAGCTTCTAGATCTGTCGTAAAGTGCGTCTTAGGCGCAATTATTACTATAAAGCAACTTTCTTATTCTTACTTATAAACATACAATTTTTTGTAAATAAGTAGAATCTTGTTTAAGAACTTAGCCATATTGATTCTAGCTAGTTTTAAGCTTATTAGAGCAAAGGTTTCGGCTCTTATAAAGCAAAGGTTTCGGGTCGAAGTTATAACCCTAAACCCTAATTTTGTGTGGGGTTTTAAAGGTTTCGACTTAAACCCTTTATCTTCTAGTAATAGTCTTTTTACTAGCCTTTTTGTTTAGTAATAGCCTTACTATTAGTAAGGGCCTTATTATATAGATATAGTAATATTCTTATAATATTTTAAAAAGATAGAAATAAAGATTATATATATCTTAAAAACATATTACTTAGTAATAATAACTAATTATTATTACTTAGAATTTCTAATGTTTAACTAGTAGATATATTTATTCTTTTTTCTTAATTATCTCTATTAAAACTTTATGTTTTAAAATACTTTATATATAGAACTAATAAGAAAAAAAGCTCTTTAATATATATATAAGAAAGTATAATAATTAGCTATAAAAAAGTCTAACCCTAGACTAATATTTTTAAGCTATAATATTAAGTACTAAAAAAAGTACTTAAAATAGAAGTTATAGATAGCTACTTTTTAGGTCTTAATACTTTTAGTATTCTAAAAAAAAAAAGAAAGCTTTAAAATAAAGCTTATAAAAAAAAAAGAATAGTATTATAATCTAGTATTAAGTATACTAGCTTCTAGCTTATATATAGCTAATTATTACTATATTAGAAATTCTACTCTAAGGATTCTACTAAAATAGGTTCTTTTTATAAAGTACTTTATAGTAGGTAGCTATTTAATATACTCTATTTTTTCTAATTTCTTACTTTTTTTAATTTTATTAAAATAGATAGAGTAATAGAGTATATAAAGTAATATATATATACTTATTACCTATTAAGTATATAAATAGATAGGTCTTTACTAGAAAGTCCTATATTTAACTTAATTAGTTATTCTAATAGTTTCTTTAGTTTATACTACTATATACTACTTACTTTACTTACTTAATACTTTTCTTTATAAGTCTAACCCTATAACTAGTTATTCTTTCTAGAATAGTTAGCTATAATAATATAACGGTAGTAAGTTTATATGTTTTATACACTTAATATGCTAAAGGTATTATATATTATAATGGGTAGAGTTTTCCTTGCACTAGTCTCTCCTTTGCAGCAACAGCATCCCAGTCTAGATTGTTACTATCGATGTTCTGTTTCGCAAGAGCTAACCACTTGTCCCAAGCCTCTGTATTCGGCAAAGCCCCAGCGCGTCTGACCCATTCCACCTTCTTTGTCGCACGTATAGCTTTCCATAAGCAGCCTGTCATGCTGGGCTTTTGAGAGGGATCTTTGTGCAGATCTGTGTCGTCGGGGTAATATTCCTCGAGGAATGTGATGTTGTATGGAGAAAAGTCCCAGTGGAAGCTCCGCGGTAGCAGTGCTACGGTCCAGTAGACGGCATGCAGCACCCCGTATGTGATGGAAAGCACAGCTTGCATGACCCAGGTTGCATTGCCCAGCAAAATGATGGCCACAATGAAAAGTACCGTACTGACACCACCAAGTGAGCCAAATTGCCAACCTGGTGGGCAGCTGCGAACGACACCATCGACATCGCCAATATAAAGCTCTCGTGCTATGTCCTCGGTACACTCCACAACAATAACGGCGCCCTGTCGACCCATGATAACAAGATCGCCTGACGGACCGTTGGTGTTGCTGGCGTAGCGCCCTTGCATGGTCATGGTGGACCAAAGGTTTGCATAGCCAAGCAGACTGGACAGGACGCCGAGCAGGATTATAGCAATGAATGCTTCACCATCAGCCACGAGCCCAGCCCAAGCAGCCAGACCAAGCGTCAGAAGGAAACTTGCAATACCGACGATGTTGATGGGAGAGAGTAGCTTTGGTTCGATGCCAGGAAGCAACGAAGTAGACCTAAAAGCTCCGCGCAAGGACTCTCTCACGGTCTTCCTTCTGAGACGCTGAGGAGGCTCGAAGTTAACAGGTTCCAGCCCTTCGCGGCGCCATATCTTCTCGTCTTCATCTCTTGCACCGCTCCGAGTGACCCGAATATGTTGAAAGGTGAAAGATGACTGTTCGTCGATCCTGTGTATCAAGTTTGGAAAGAATCCGAGCCTTTGAAGCACAACACTACTGTTGACTGAAATGACCTTGGCTTCTTCGGAAGGTAACGCAGCGATACGCTTCGGCCGCATCAGGGCAGTTGGAGCTGGAATCAGGCGTGGCAGGAGGCAGATTCGAGACGAAGTCACTTCTTCGCGGCATTCTTCGATCGTGGATTCGCCCACAATGGCAAGCAGTCCAACAGCATCCAACTTCCATCCTTGTGCTCCCAGTGGGAATTGGAACCAAGCGCCGCCTACTGTCGCCATGTGTAGAGGAAGCCTAAGTTGAAGTCATGGCCAGGTCTGCCAGGATCATGTCAAATATGGGATGTTAGCACTTCCTGTTCAACAGGGGGGCGGGGAAACAGGATCAGTACGTACTTCACGCCAAGTGGTTCGTCACACCAGGTTTTTTGATGGTAGCGCCCGCTAGCGGTGCATATGTTGCTGTGTTGAAGATGAGATCGAAACGAACAAGCAATATGTGACGTCATCTGGCGAGAGTCCAAGATCTAGACCTCCACCATTGTCTAGATTTCTAGTGGGGGTGATGTTTATTTGGCTCCGCGGCAGACACAACTCTGCGACAATACGCAACGCCACAATGACATGTACCGATCGCAAGGTCAAGACGGCAAGTTTTGATCAGAGACCGTGTTCCTCTTCTTCCACAAGACCTGCCCAACAAGTTTCCACTCACGCTCCTGGATCTGAGCTGATCAGGTCATGGACAGCCACAGGGACGACCATCGTATCTCTGTTAGCACAACAGGCGAGAGTCCAATAAATGGACAACCTACACGATCGACAGCAGGCGCTTCAGCCTTTCCATTGCACCATTCAGCACGCAAACAGAGAAGAAGAGTGCCGCTGGTTCTCCGATTCATTCAAGGTGCCATACACGTCGATATTGCAGTCCCTGTACTGCTTCACACCTCCTGGACTGCCTTCATTGCATGGCTAAATTGGCACTTGGCAGGCAACCTGGCACTACCAGCCAGCATTATCCCAAGTCTGTCAATTGTACTTGGACTCATGCTGGTTTTCAGAAATCAGACCTCTTACGACCGCTTTTGGCAAGGCAGCTTGCAGCTCACGAACCTCTCAGCTTCGATACGAAATTTGACTCGCTCGTTTCTAACATGCTCATACGCTATAGGAAAGCCAGCTCCGCCAGCGACAGAACGAGCAGACACAGAACGGACTGTCCGGATACTTCTTGCCATGATATATGCAGCGAAGAATCACTTGAGAGCAGAACAGGCACAGAATATGAGACTGCTACCTTCTCTGTTACCCTCAACAAAGGCTCAACTTCGACACCACGAAGAAAGTACATCCGTTGCAAAGCCAGAGTACAATGAACTCTTACCGTACGGAATTCGTGGTTTCGAGGATCGAGGTCTTGGTTTGCTACTGCAGTTGTCAGTCGAGATTGAAGCATACATCAAACGTGGACAAGATAGAGGCTGGTTTTATGCACCACAAGCATCACAGTTGCAGACCCAGCTCAATGCGATAGTCACAGCATACAGCAACTTGGAGACGATACATCTGACGCCAATAGCTGTCGCTTCCCTCATACACCTCCAGCAAGTTTTGGCCTTATTTGGAATAGTGTTACCTTTCGGTATCGTTGCTCAGATGCAATGGTATGCCATTCCAATGACAGCCGCGATCATGTTTACAGTGTATGGCATCGAGGCAATTGGAGCTCAGCTGGAGGATCCGTTTGGCTATGACAAGAATGATATCAAGGTTGATGCTATAGTGGAAGACTTGAGGGTTGAGACGATTGTGCTTTTGGAGGAATGGAGAAGTGGTAGTGTCACATTTCCACAGAACAAGCTGACGTAATCCATGTGTCATGAGAGCAACAATGCATTATGCTATTGAGGATACCAAGACTCTCATTGAGCGCGCTCAAGACATCACAATCAACGTCTTCGAGTGCATCATAGTCCACCTCCTTCCAAGATCCCATCCCGCTATTCGTGCTTGTGTATCGTTCCAGGGGAGGTCAAGGAGCCGTGCATTTCCCATTGACAAGGGGGGAAGTCCGGTTTGTTTCTGTTGATACATCAGTTTCAAGTGGCGCATTGTTTCACGGCACAATACATACACGTCGACACATGGTGTATCGCTGCTGCTGCAGGTACCGCCCCTCTTGTAGAAACATCCGCATGTATGTCCACAGCAGGCTTTGCAGATATTGCCGCTGCAACCCACGGAGGTGCTGCCACAGCAGACATGGACGCCGCCTGCGCAACCTCCTGCATCCACGTAGGCGCTAAGGAATGCGACAACAATCAAAAGGAGGAAGACGCAATATTTGGCTGACAACATGGTGCTCAGGATGTTCGACTTAGAAGAGGAAGTATGCAGTGGATGTAGGTTGATTGAGCAAGTTTAGGCAAATGGGGCTTTGAACATTATATCACAAGTGATGATTGAGAGTGAGGGGTTTCAAAAGAGGCGGCCTAGAGCAATCCAGAACCACTCCGCCCCAAAACCTCCGCGGTACTTTGAGAATCATGGGTGCGCTCCTTCCACTAGCCGTTTCCATTAGGGAAACCGGTGGAAGCAAGTAAAATCGTGCAAAATTCTGCCATTTGTTCAAATGGAAAAGCCTTGGGACGATGAAAACACCATCCGCGATCGCACTGGGTCACAACGCCATCGTACGGAGTTCCACGCTCGCTTGAACAGACTGCAGTCACTTTCGGGCAACTGGAAGATGTCTCGTCGAACATATGGTGTTGCAAAGGGAAGTAAGGTTGGACAGAGACCTTCTTGAGCCTGCGTGAATGAAGATATGTCGTCGAACAGCCCACCACCGATACCGCACTGCCTGCATACCATGTCTTTCAGCTAATCCAGTGACTTGTCCAAGGCAAGGTGCAACAGCACGAACGGCGGAACAGCATGACTTGTCGTTCGGTAAGATCTTTGGCTAGGATCAGCCTCCTGGCACAGTAGACGCAGACACTGTACAAAGATTGGCTTGCACACGGTTCGAGAACAGTGGTATATGGTGTGCTTGTTTGCGCCATTCGTGGACAAAACAGCTGATACTTGCTAAAAGCGGTTGTGGTGTCAACCCTCGACCAAACGCGGAGTGGCCAGGCGCCAAGCAGTGGAAAGTGGAGGCCGGGGCGGAGAGCGGAGGGCGTAGGGCCGACGAGAGCTCGGACGCCTCGATCCGGCATCATCGTCACATGGATGGAAGATGCATCGAGACAGAAACATTGCACCTGCCATCTGTCGGCGGAAAAGTCGAAAGAGGAGGAAGAATGAAGTGGTAACGAGCTGCAGGTCAACAATGCAAGCGATTCTTCCCGGACGGCCACAAGCGCAACTGCAGGCCGTGTCAACAGGAGTGTTTGAAGGGCAGACGGTCGTTTGCTACATCTCGGGCAGCGCGCTCATCATCTGCAGCGCACCCGACTCGCTCCTCCAGACCATCTACCATGATGAACTTCTTCCGCCGGCCGCGCTTGTCGCCGTCTCGTACGATCATCGCACCGCCAAGATTGCGACAGCCTCGCACAGCCATGTCTACATCTACGTCTTGCGCGAGGAGATCAAGGGCCAGTTGCGCTGGTTCCTCGACATGACCTTCGACGTCTCCTCTACAAGCAGCATACAGACCCTCTCTTGGGGAACCGACGACGAGCTGCTGGTTGCCTCAGACAAGGTCCTGCTCCTCTCGACACAAGACCACACCATCCGCTGGACGCGTTCCCTGCCCTCGCCCGTAGCGCATGCCACCTTCTCGCCGTCTGCAGCCCTCCTCGCTACCACATCTCGACACGACCGACTTGTCAAGGTATGGCGCCGCCTCTCGTTTGAATCCGCCATCTTCGACTACGCCTACCTCTCCCACCCAGACATTGTCACCCACGTCGAATGGAGAACAGACTCGGCCGACGAAGACGCCCTGTACACCATCTGCCTCGATGGCAAGCTGCGCGTGTGGAAGACTGGCTTGCCGCGCCAGACCGACGTCCTCGGTCTCTACGCCGAACTCGATCTGATCAAGGCCGTCCGCCCACTCGCCCCCTCGAACCGTCGCTACGCCTTCCTCGTCCCCTCTACCATCTTCTCCGATGCCGTCGCACATGCCACCAGCACGCCAACCCTCCCCGCCGAGCGACACGCCGTCGAGTACATGAAAGAGCTTGCGAACAGACACCCAGACATTGTTGTCGTGACGGACGATCAAGGACACATGAGCGCTTGGGGGCTGGAGAATGTCGGCTGCAAAAAGAGGACAAGCATCTCTGAGCACGCCGACTTCTTCCATGCCACCCATGTCGAGAACCTCTTCTTCGACTTTTCCAAGCACGCACACGTCTCCGAAGACAATGCCCGTATCATCAACTTTGCTCTGCCTGGACAGTCTGGCGACATTGGCGTCTTGGTTCACCACTTCGACGGACGCCTGCAGTGGTACCAAGGCAGCGTGCACCACGTCTTCGACCCCTCTGCGCGCAAACAGCGCATGCGCAATTTGGCGTCCTGGACCGGCCACTCCTCTTCGATCAAGAAACTCATCCGCACCGCCAACGGCTCAGCCGTCATCTCGCGCACCGACACGGACGAAGGAGTCGTCTGGAAGCACCGTGGCAAGTTCCTGGTCAGAAAGAGCAAGGCAAAACTGTACGAACACATCCATCGCACCGCCTTGCTGAAAGACGGTGACTTTGTCGTCCTCTTGCACCACCAAAGCATTTCTTTGTGGGATGCTCGTCTCCCCAATGCAAGAGAGATTGGCCGCTGTACATACCAAGTCTCGGGCAAACCGCTCTGTCTCCTCTCGCTGCCTGCTCCCGAAGATGCTGGCCATCTATCCTACCTCGCCACAGTCACCGCAGATATGCACGGTGTCGTCTGGGAGCTTGATCTGGCCTCGTCCTCACCAACCATGACCGAGTTTTGTACCTTCCAGCTCGATCACATCGAGAGCATGTCCTACTTCTTGCCCGTCGACCCTGCAGGCAGCTCGCCTATTGTCTCGAGTCTCTTCGACACGTTTGCTCAAGACGTCGCTGTATCGTGGACGACCACTGGTATCCTGCAAACTTGGACCGCCAAGGTCGACCGCCTGAACAAATCTGTGACTTGGCTGAACATTTCCACCACCGACACCAGCATACAGGAACCTTCGCTCGGGAGCGGCACTTCTATACGCAAAGCTGCCTTGGTCGACAAGTCCCGCTCCACTCTGACCATCTGGGATACCAAGAGTGGACGACTCGACTACGAAGAGACTTTTGAGAACCAGACAATCCAAGACCTCGATTGGGCCTCGACCCCTGACAACCAATCCATCCTTGCCGTTGGCTTCCCTCACGCTGTCTTTGTCTATACCCAGCTTCGCTACGACTACGTGACCGAACGGCCCTCGTGGAGTCGCATCAAGCAAATCAATACTCGTCATCTCTCCCCTCATCCAATCGGAGATTCTGTCTGGTTGAGCTCTGGAAATTTGGTCATCGGTGCCGGTAACCAGCTCTATCTTGCTGGTAATGAGGTCGAGCCAGAGAAGGATCTTTCGCCAGACTTGCAGAGCTCAACGCCTCACAAATCATCCACCCGCATCCAAGACGTTGTCCGCAGGCTCAACGGACCGCTTCCTGTCTTCCACCCCCAATTTATATCACAGTGTATTCTTGCCGGCAAGATGGATATTGTGCACCGGATTCTGCTCAATCTGCAAAAGACGCTCAAGTTCTACACAGAGGGTGACGACCTGGATTCCTTCCAGGGCCTCGACATTGAAAGCTTCATGTCATCTGCTGAGGTACGCTTCTCTCTAATGCTCAATGAACCTTACTTACACTCGAGCAGANAATACTCAAACTCTAGCAAGCAAATCCACAAGTCATACAGCACTCTCGATATGGAAGAAGAGTCGACCACCGTTACTGAACAAGTCGCCTCCTCACTAGTCTCCTTGCTTTCCGAGAAATCGATACCTCAACTGTCGAGTACTGAACAGCTCAGTCTTGCCGACATCATCGAATGCGTTGGCATGGCAGAGAAGCACCGACGCTCAATCGACGACAACGCCGCTCGTTATCTTCTCTTCTGGAGGGAGACTGTCATGCGGTCACGACAGTCATCCTCTTCCGCCGCCGTCACGTGGCGTGAGATGCTCTGGGCATATCACAGTAGTAGTCAGGATATCCTTGTTGACATTGTCACCCGCCAAAACAAGGGGCAAATGACATGGTCTCACGCCCGAAATACTGGTGTCTTTGTTTGGCTTACCGATCGGGAAGCACTTCTCCAACAGTTCGAGGCCGTTGCAAGAAGTGCATACACCAGCACTGAATTGCGCGATCCCGTCAACTGCTCTTTGCATTACCTCGCGCTACGGAAGAAGAATGTTCTGACTGGTCTGTGGCGCATGGCTACCTGGTCAAGAGAGCAAGCTGCTACAATGCGTCTCTTGAAGAACGACTTTTCTGACCCTCGATGGCGCACTGCTGCAAATAAGAATGCATACGCCCTGATGGGTAAGAGGCGATTCGAGTACGCAGCCGCCTTCTTCCTTCTTGCCGACAACCTTGACTCTGCCGTCTCGGTGCTCAGCAACCAGCTGGGCGACATCCAGTTGGCAATCGCTGTTGCTCGTGTCTACGGCGGAGACGATTCGTCTTCACTCCAGAAGTTCTTGAATGAACGAGTGCTGCCCAATGCTGCCCTCGAGGGCAACCGCTGCCAAGCAACATGGACATACTGGATGCTTGGCGAAAGATCTCTTGCTGTGCGTGCCCTCATCAGCCCCTTGCATTCTTTGCTCGTACCGCCAGGCTCGCCACCGGATTCGCTTCAAGCCAAGAGTTTCCGCAATGATGATCCTGCACTTGTTGTCCTGTACCAGCAACTGCGAGAAAAGAGTTTGCAGACCTTGAGGGGAGCTTTGATGATCAGTGGCAAGGAAGAATGGGAATTCATCACGAAGACTGCGACACTGCTCTTGCGTATGGGTTGCGACATCCTTGCTCTGGACTTGGTGCGACACTGGGAGTTCTTGCAACCACCACCCGCCGCGAAACAAGAGGAAGAAGATTTTGAGGAACCCGTCGCCGAACTCCCGCGTCGCAAGTTGTCAAGGACAACAACAGGAGAATTCGACCCAAGGAAATTGTTACGCCGGAGAAGTAGTCTTGTCGTTGCTGACCTACCAGAGGGAAGGCCTGTTGTTCAGGAGAACACTGCACCCTCTATGCTTGACGGATGGGGTCCACCGTCGCCACAAGTTAACCAGTCTGCCTCTCTACTAGATCACTGGACTGCACCTGCACCATCCGCACCCAAACCCGCACCTTCGATGCTGGGACAATGGTCTATACTTGAAGGACCCAAGCAGCAAGCAAACCCTGCGCCCTCGATGCTTGACGGCTGGGCTGCACAATCTCAACCCGTGTCCAAGCCTGCGCCTTCACTCTTCGACAATTGGGCTGCACCACCAACGAAACCTCAAGTGGCGAAGTCCCAATCAGAAGCTCCAGCGCCATCGATGCTTGACAGCTGGACCTCAGCATCCAAGCCTGCATCCAAGCCTGCAGCCTCGCTTCTTGATGACTGGGCTGTGCCCGCTGCAAAGCCCAAGGTGGAGGAAGCCAAAGACAAGTCTCCGGCACCATCGATGCTTGATCAATGGAGCTCGTCAATGCCATCGGCACCAAAGACGGTTGCTGAACCAGCATCCTCGATGCTCGACGGATGGACTGCACCTGTTGCAAAGTCCACTACCGTAGCCACGAACGCTGCATCACCGTCTATGCTTGATCAATGGACCGCACCCGCTGCGCCTTTTTCTCGGCCAGCGCCTGCCATACCAGACGAACCAACGAAATATGCTGGCAAAGCGTCTTCGTTCCTGGCCAATCCGACAATGCCGACTTCAATGCCCAACTCAAGTTTTGAGGATGCACAACAAGATGACACCCTGGTTAGTAGTCGAGGGAGAGCTAACCCAAAGCAAGAAGCGAAGGACGAAGGATTAAAGGGCCATCAGGAATTGAAGGTCGAAACAAAAGAGGCTACGAAGACTGGCGGGCAAGAGAAGGAGAAGGCAGAAGAGGAGTACAAGTTGCCGAAGGGGTTGAAGCAACCACCACCCGAAGCATTCAAGGAACCCGATCCGAATTCTTTGCTTGATGCGTTTGGATTTTGAGCGAGCATAGCGAGGCGTTCTGGGACACTATTCTGTATAGCGTTGTTGTGTTCCGTATCTTGTGTGGCGATTGCGCCTGAGTGTGAATACAAATCTGTTGTTGCCTGATTATTCCCGTCGTAAATCACGCTTCGGTGGCTGACGGGTATACGGCTCCCTCTACCGTGATGGATGGCGCGTCATCTGACGCGACACATAATGCCGCATTCACTTGATATCCCGGCCCTGTTCGCATTGTTCTACTCACTAGATTCACAACTTAGCAGCGACTTCATTCTCGTCACAAAATTATAGAGAAGAAACACATCTGCCCTCGGTGCAACCAAGAGGTCAATTCTCAAGAAAAGAGCGAACACGACGACAGGCATTTCGCAGAGGATCTGGACAACGAAACCAATGGCGCGCAAGCAACCCCGACCTCCGTGTCACCTACAATGACGAACAGGAAACGCAGCAGCATATCACCGACGAAAGTCGATAATCATCGCCAAACGACAATGTCCTCTAGTCGTGCGACAACAGATAGCCGCCATGTGGCTCATGTCAATGCCGTCGACAGAGCGGCGCACTTGCGAGCTCAGAGCGAGGTATGGATATTCTGCAGATGGCCCTGGACGTTGGAAACACGCTTTGCGCCATTTTCGAATGCTGACCTCTGCTGCTAGCGGGAAATGCAAAATGCCCTGCAAACTATTCAGATGCAATACCGTATCTACAACACAGAGATAGAACCGGAGCACGACAGTGACTATCCCTGCAGCTGTTCCATTCATCAATACCAACGCATGAAGCGTAGTCGTCGGCCTGTATTAACTCAATGGTCAGAAGCAGTCATGTATCCTGGCGAGAAGATGTACCACGACTTGGCACCCCAAACCACCATCTTCAGCGGTAATCCTTACCAGCTTCGTGTCACTTCACCATACGGCTATGGCGGTACTGCATGGACCAGATCACATCCTCGCCCTGGCTATCATGTCAAGTTCATTCACCAAACCATCCAGCTGAACAATCAATTGAATCATGAAGCTCAGGCAAAGGTTGATGCGATGGAGCCAAGGCACAGTATCTGGGATGACAAGACACTAGAAAGCGTAATGTCCAACTTGTCGGTCGCTCCGGAAAAGGGCGAGCCCCCAAAGTACGAGGCCGATGCCAAAACTTGCCCAGCAGAGAAATCAGCACCAACTCAGTCAACATCACGACCCAATGGCCCACCCGAACGTAGCAGTACTTCCCGATTCTCCGCCTTCAGAAAAGCCGTTGGCATCAAGTCGTCAGACGAGAGAGCGACGGCCAAATCGGAAAAGGCCATCAACCTAGGCATCGGACTCCGACACAGCATCCTGGCAGAAGAAGCAGGTCGCTGGCCAGACGAAGAAACCAGACAAATTGTGGCGCTCTACCAGGACAAAGTCGGCATGGAACGTAAGATCGCTCATCTTCGTGCCCATCAGCCTTTGCAGTATCTCCATCTGCTGCGAGCAGGATACTTTGAGCCCATACCATTTGCGTGGGCTGATCAAGCTAGCAGTATGCTCACGTTCAACATCGAGGCTGCTGGTGGCTGGCGAGGCATAACACCTCAATGGCGAGGCTACGAAGACACCGCGGAAGAACGATTGTACTGGGTCTTGAACCACCGGGAAGGGTCCGCTGGTGTTGTACGGATGAAACCAGACTTCATCTCCGAGATGAACATGGCTCGCGATCGCATGGCGAAGGCTGTAGAACCGCCGCCTGACTACTATTCCGCAGACGATACTTGTCATCTCCAGCATACTTCCAAGGGATACTCGAAGCAGGTCATGCCGACGCCGTTTAGATCAAGCGATAGGCCGGAAGTGCCAACTGACGACACCATGATACTGCTCGATATTTCCGGATCCATGGACTTTGATCCAGTCCGCCCAGTGTGAGTGTCTGGGCAGAGTCTCGCTTTTGTTGAGTCCACACGACTGACATGCAGTACAGTTNACGATCAATACCTTATAACAGGATATGCACCATCCACTCAGCCCAAGAACAAAGGTACGTCGTATCGCATTTAACCTCGTCCGCAATTGCCGGATGCTGATCTATCCACCCCACTAGATGTCGCAAAAGCCATCATTCGCCGCTTCATCGACGCAATGGCGAATCACGATCACGAGTTCAACGGCTACGATCTTGTGACCTTCTCCAGCCACGCCAAATTCGTTGGCACGATCACTCACACCAGCCTCGACAAAACCTGGAACAGGATCTCCATTGGCGGCGGCACCCGTGTCATGACGGGCTGGCAGAAAGTCAAGCAGCGCCATTTCGAGAAGCACTCCGAGTCGGCAACCTACCACCCTGTGTATGGATGGCAAGCAGGTCTGCAAACACCCATGTTGCGTCTGCTACTTCTTCTCGACGGCGAAGCAACTGATATGGATGAATTCGAACTTGAGCTTCTGGGATTGTCGTGGGCGCATGTGACGATCTTTTTGATTGGCGTAGATGGATGTCCGCATCATCATCGGCATGCGAACGAGTTGCAGCGCATAAGTGATGTGAATCACCACGTGTCATTTGTCGATGCGCAAGGCAACACTCCCGAGAGATTCGTCACGCATGAGCTACTCAAGAGGCATTTAGGCTATGATGTCTCGATGCAGGAGTTCCGGGAGTTGGAAGAGCTGCCTCCGTACGTGGAGTGAAGGGGCACATAAGAGAGAACTTATCTACAAAGGTTCTGCTAAGGCGGAGAAACTGTTAATGATTTTCGTCTCCCGCACAGTTGGTGACATGCGTCCAATAAGAACGTGACTGGTTATCATAGCCCAGATGTCAGAATCGTGATGCTGGAATTGTCCCGTGTACCTGCCTTCACGGAGCGAATTTCACAACGTCTTTTGTAACACGGGGATGGTTCCGTCCGAAGGAGCAGTTCCTTCCCATTCGTAGTGATATCTAGATGTCCAAGAGCAGACGTTTTACTTCTTCAGGACCGTAATTTCCAGCTTAAGCCGACATTGGGCTAGAAGCCTTGAAACACCATCGCAGGATCGCGTGCGTCCGATGTACTGACTTGACGCACACCGCGAGTAGCCAACCGTGAGATGTTAAGCTATCTGCACTTCGCATGCAGAAACTTCTTGTATTTCTCTCTGTTCTGACAGGGCTGCTTACCTCGCGTTCGCTATCTTCACTCGTTGGCTGGACCCTGCATCGATGGCTGTATGTTCTGCAGATGTGCTACGCACATCCCTAAGGCTGCATGAACTCACTGCATGATCATGTCTAGTGAGCAGCTGAAAAGCTCAGCTCTCAAGGATCGAGATCAGACAATCAACTGGCTCACTGCGTCTAGCTCATCGTTCTCATTCTGCCTGACGTTGCATCCCTTTCAGGAAAACGGGTCAAGCTATATATGACTTCTGCAAGTGATATGACCTGGCACCTGTCTAGGTGTCAACCTGATCCAACTTCATTCCGCTTTCTGCTTTCCCTTAGTGACAACATGTCTTCGAACGAAACACTGATTCCGTCAGTCGCAACCAATATCAACGACAAATCTCAACCTGGAATACAGCATGATTCCTCACCTTTTTCGATGACCAAATTTCCCAACATCGCCTCACAAAGCATTGGGACCAAACAACAAGATATCAGAATCGAGAACCTGGTGGGTTTTGCGCAAGTCCCGCTTGGGCTCGCGGGTCCCTTGACCATCCGTGGCGAGAGACAGGACAACAAAGTATACGCGCCACTTGCGACCGTCGAGCCGACATTGGTTGCAAGTTGTTCTCGTGGCTGCAAAGCTTTCGAAGTCGGAGGAGGTATCCAAGCCGTCGATCTTTCCGAAGGCATGTCCCGAGCTCCTGTGTTTCGGTTTTCGAGTCCTATCGATGCTGTCTCTTTCTATCGCCTCTTGCCCACAATGGAGGAGGAATTGAGGAGGTCCGCCGAATCCACAAGCAGATTCGCCAAGCTGCAACGGGTTGTCCCTCACCTCTTTGGCAAAGACGTCCACGTCAGGTTCGTGTATAGTTGTGGAGATGCATCTGGCCAAAACATGTCGATCATTACCACGCACAAGGCCTGCCAGAAGTTGTTGGAGACTCGAGGAGCCGCACTCAAGATCAAGGACTTTCAGCTCGAAGGACAGTTGGCCAGTGACAAGAAACTCTCTTACATCCATCTTTACGAGCCACGTGGTGTACAGGTTTTTGCTTGGGGCGTCTTGTCTGATGTCACTTGCAGATCTGTACTTGGAAGCTCAGCTACTCGGATCCACGATGCCATCATGGTCGCTCAACAAGGCGCCATCCGCGCCGGCATGATCGGACACAACATCAATGTCGTCAATGTCCTCACCGCCATGTTCATTGCTTGCGGTCAGGACGCAGCCAGTGTCTTGGAATCAGGGTGGGCTCAACTGAACTCCGAATTTGACGCCAGGAAACAGGAACTGACGCTCAGTCTGTTCATCCCTTCTNTGCTCATCGGCACAGTCGGTGGTGGAACCATGTACAGTACTCAGAGAGAAGCCTTGGAGATGGTCAAGTGTGTTGGTCAAGGCAAGAAGTGGGCGCTTGCGGAGACGATGGCGGCTTTTGCGTTGGCGCTCGATATCAGTACTATCAGTGCTATGGCGGATGATACTTTTGCAAAGAGTCATGAGCGGTTAGCAAGGTCAAGCAAGATTTGAGGTCATTTGAAAGAGGTCGGGCCAGAAGTCTCGATTATGAATCGTATGCATTTCAGATCTTCATCGGGACCTTATACCTACCACGTGGTTATCGGCGACCGCATACAAGGACTGTGGATCTCTTGGGCGTGTGTTAGATGCCATACTAGCAAGCGGTGGACCATGATCGGTCTGTCAAAGCAACAACAAGGCGATGAATTGTCCTACAACAGATGAGCAAGAAGCTCTAGTCTGCTGTAAATGGTTCAAATAACGACAATTCCTTGTCTCAGTTCGATATAGTCCGTCCTGGTAAACACTTAACCTCAAGCTCAACCTGGACAGTAAATACCATACCACCTACGAGACTGTAGACTGAAAAAGATATAGGGGAAGGACTCAGATACTAGAACAGACCGTCAGATTGTGGCTTGCCGAAGAATAGTCCAGACAGAATCAGTGGCTGCTTTGTGTGGTGCGACGTTTGACGCCCCAAAGTCTCTCCGCTTTTGCACCTGGATCATGTAACGCGTCACGCCACCATACTGACAAAGATAAAGGTCACAGCTGCCTGCTCTGATTCAACTCTGCACCCTTTCCAGGCCAATCGCAGACAACAGTGATCGCTACATAACAATAACATCGCCATGCTGGGACCATTGGATCTGATCATCCCACCCATCTTGCTTCTCACATCAGTGGTCACACTTGCATTCACAATTATTTCACTCCTACTTACAAGTCGTTTTCAAGACCTGACTTCCGTAAGAAGCTTAAAACAATCTTGGTTCAAGCACTTTTGGTGGTGGTTCGGTCCTGGAACAAAACCGATCTTCGCGCCTGATGTGCGACCACTTCTATCTCAAGCACGAGGCGTAGTTCTTGAACTTGGACCCGCAAGTGGGATATGGATGCAAGAATTTGTACCCGCTATCAGAGAAGGCAAGATCACCAAGATTTACGGAGTTGAGCCAAATGCCACATTCCATGCTCAACTCAAAACTGCGAGTAAGAAGAATGGGATAGAAGATGTCTATCAGCCACTGCCAGCCTACTCCTACGACCTCAGACGATATGGTGTCAAGAAAGGCAGCATCGATACAATCATCACGGTGCATGTGTTGTGCAGCGTCGGTCCTCAGCTGGACTTGGTAGTGAAGGATCTCTACGACTACCTCAAGNCCGGGGGACAATGGCTCGTGTACGAGCACGTAGTAGCCCGATATCCGATTGCGANNAAGCATGGCAGAGTAGGTTACTGAATCTGAGCTGTTTCATCAGGATAAATACTTATGTAAGATGCAGGAGCCAATAACATTGCTTGGGAAAATCTTCTTGACGGTTGTCATTTGCTCCGAGACACGGAACACGTTCTTAAGAAAGCAGGAGGATATGATGAGATTGATCTCAGACCAGACCCAAAAGATGGACCATTTCAAGCATTACCGCATGTAATGGGAAGGCTGGTCAAGAAGTTTTGAATTTCCAGGTTGAGGTTTTACGCTTAAGCTACATGCTTGCAGTTTAGGTGGATTTGCAACCATTCTATAGCTTTCAAAATATTGAACAACCCATGATCTCATGGCAAACTATCATAGATCTTGTCTCCAAGCTTTGGTGGCTCCAGGTAGTCTTCCGGGGCTCTGCTAGAACCTGGTGCTTCTCGGCCCAGGCACGAACATCATCGAAGTTGCGACAAATGTGATGGGTGTTGAAGTCGACATAAGCAGCCGGATACTCCATTTTGTCGCTTTGCCACCAGACTTGTCCAAGTACTCCGATGTCGACGCTGCACATCAGTTGTTGTCGAATGATGTCGAGGCAATGACCTTTACCCTTGTCAGCTTTTGATCATCAGGAGACGAACCGACAGACTTACTAACGTGCTTTTGGAGCACAAAGTCATTATTCTTGAAAGCGCCTTCACCCTTTGCATGGTAGTAGTCGAAGTTGAACCATAAACTCTGACGAAGAAGATTCTGACATTGTGTCAACGGAGCTCTTGGATGTCGTCTGTCATATCACGCTTACCAAGCAATGAAGATGATGTAAGCCCTCGATATTCGCAACGAACCCGCCTCCATATTTTCCAGAGATCTTGACTTGATCTTGCATGAGTCCGACTTGGCTTGCCATGTCAGCTGGAACGACAACACTGAGATCTTCAGCACTTTTTAGCACCTGGCCTCACACACGAACAGACTCAATTAGACTTACAATCAATGCCGAGATCCTGCCATGCTTGATCCACCTCATTGCCAGCCGGTTGTCGATAAACGTTCTCTTTCAGCAAAGACCCGTTGAATTGCTGCTCGTGGAACGACAGTCTAACGTCGGGAGTGATTGGCGATCTGGTCGTGATCAAGCTGACATAGTCGGATGAAGGTGGTGTCTGTGCGATATAAAGTGTTGCGAAGACACCGACCACGATCCCTAGCAGAAGTAGAAGCGTTCCAGAGCAATATAATATGATTCTGCGAGACAACGAAAGATTGAAGTCGGGGATTCGAAGTTTTCCAGCAAACAGACGTTGTTCTTTGAAATCATCGAGAGTCTCTGAAGAAGACAGGATGCTGTATTGGTGATTCTCCTTGGTCATAGTGAGACAAATGGGCTTGAATCCTGAGATGCTGAGAGGCTGGGTGAGTAACAGCGAGAAGGGAGAGAATGAATCTGGCTCCAGACTACACAGGACAGATGAGGTTGTATCATGGGGGTCTCTCTCATGGCTGCAGCTGGAGTGAAATCCATTTTTGGCGACGCTTCGAGATGCACGAAGCGGGGTTCTCAAGAGGGTCACGCAGCAACCATTGTCCAAACGCGGTATAGAGAGATCGTACTGGGAAAGCTATAAATAAGCTCAAGAGTCTCGCGGAGGTGTGGTAGTGTGGGGTGCGGGGTTTCAGCTGCAGCTTGTCACAACGTCTGACCACCACCTTCTAGAATACCTCTACACTTCACTAACCAGACTTGAGATCTCGCGGCTCGACTCGCTACAGACTTTCTGAGTTTCACATCCACGCTGCGGTTGATGGCCATGTCCTTGCCGAGGACGCCGGGAACAATAATCTGTGAGAATCAAGCTTGTATACAACTTTGCTGCATTCACGAGCGTGCTATCGAATCCGTGCAGGCGGCTTGATCGACACGAGGCACACGCTGCTTGCCCCTATACCACACCGACGCTCGGTCACAGGCAGCGGTCTATACTTGGAGCTGATCTATCGTACAACTTTAATCATTCGCGACCAATGCGCCACGATCTTTGACAGTGCTACAGTAGATTATACTTACGGAACAGACGACCTTCAGCTTGCTACTGTGACCAGAGCGGAATGCAACCTTCGAAGACGCCTTCGATGCAGTGTGCAGAGATAGATCTGGAACGGGTCCCGCAGCCCAGCGACCTTGAAGGGATATAAAGCTAGGTACTGTTGCTCCATCTTCCTCCCGTCTTCATCAGACACTCTCTCTTCTCCAATCCGCTGAGCAAGCTAGAATCACTTCTCCTCGAGCCCCATCTCCCATACCACAACATCATCATCATGAAGTTCTCCGCTCTTTCCCTCGTCGCGGTTCTCGCAGTCGTAGTATCAGCAAACCCTCTGCCCGCTACCTCCGCTACTGCGCCCGCGACCACATCTGCCGTTCCCGCATCCTACGGCAACTATGGCAACTATGGCAAATATGGAAAATACGGCAACTATGGCTCCTACGCCCGTGACGCCGAAGCAGAAGCTGAACCCGAAGCGCTTGAGAAGCGTGCCACTGTCACCACAACCACCACTGCTCCTGCAACCACTCCTGCATCTTACGGCAACTATGGAGCTTATGGGAAGTACGGAAAGTACGGCAACTATGGCAGCTATGCTCGCGATGCAGAGGCCGAGGCAGAGGGAGCCTCCTGAGCAGTAGAGAACGTGGCCATGGGCCTATTACGAACATGGTTCGGTGCAATGCTTGTTGGATCCTGTCGTTGTCGTATTCGTCAGCCTAATACGTATACGAGATCATCGTCCTCCAGAACATACGCCCTCACATATAATGTCTTGTTCAATGATCTTGTTCTGGTTGCATCTGTTTTGTAGGCTCCATCAGAGTGCATTACCATTGCTTACATAGCATGAGTTGGGGCAATGAACCCGTCATATCCATTCTTTTCTTAGCAGAGGTCTACGTCGCTTTCTGAGAAGTCATACTAAGAAACTACCACTGCCCTTCTAAGCGCGATCTACTTGCTGCCATCGTCGAGATGATCTTGTGATACTGCGCTTGATGTTAGGAAGGAGCAGGACGGTACCAATCTTCGCAAACTTAACCTTGCTGCGATCACTGGGTCTCATCACAGGCCCTGGTTGTCCGGAATACAGGCTGACTCGCTCAAGACTGATGTGCCATACGTGCAGTTGAAGGTGGATAGCCTCAATTTCGCGTATTCTCAAAAGATGATCACTCGAGAGTCTAGTAGTCTCGTCCTCGAGAACCTTGTCTTGTAGAACAAGTAACTTTGCGAGTATCTGTTGCAGAGCTACCGCCGGGTTACTCTCTGCTGTCTCAATGTCGGGTACGGTCCACACCGCGTCACGACTTCTCTGATCGTGAAACCAAAGCTTTTGCAACAGCACATTGCTTCTCACGGCAGTCAATAGAGAGCGAGAAACTAGTGACACAAAGCTCTGAGGACCACGGTGCCGCACCAATGCTAGTGCGCCTTCGACGTGTATCCTGTTCGCTGTCTTGCTAGAACCTCGTTGCGCAAAGTGCTCTGCGAAGTCTAAGCAAAGCACTGCAAGTAACGTCTCATCACGGAGACTTTCCGAAGGATGCGATATTGCGCTCTGTAGCGCCTGACAGGCGGTAAGGTGTAGTCTGACTTGCCCCTTCAAGTTTGGTCCATTTGGTCCTAGCATCTGAAGTGCTTGACTAGCCATTGCTAACGTAGAGAGAGCGAGAGCTGACGTGGGCGCTGCCGAGGTGTATAGAGGTATTAGGAAGTCCATGTGGCCTCGGCTTATTGATGG